GTTCCACCGGCCGCTGCCTGTGGCGAGATCGCCGTGACACGGCAGGGCGAATGCGGTGGCAGGCAGGGGCTTATCAGTAGTCGCATCGCGAGGTGAGCTGCTCGGTGTTTTTATCGTTGTTGGCACTCCGTCTTTCGGTCAGTCAGAGCAACAAAATTCAGCATTGTTTATTGCCACACGGCCCAGAGGGCCTGATAACAGCAATTTGTTTACCAGTCCTACGCATATCATTTCCAAGCCTCTCTACAATTTTTGTTTTGAAAAAATCAATGTAATGATTTCAGCGCTGCATTATGCTGATTTCAAGATTTGTAAAATTGTTTGATAAATTAATGGCATCTATTCGGTCAGTTAAAACAACAGTAATAATAGGCAATTTGCTCATTAATGGCTTTATACATAAAAATGTAGGTACCGCTATACACGGCTGAATCCACCGTAGCGCGGTGTTTTGCCAGTGTTACATGCCCTCAATAATAAAGCTGGTGGGCCGGCCGGTGCTAATTTCAGCGCCTGCAGTCACCGGTGTCGGTTCCTGATGATGGAGGGGTACGTAGTGTAGTCAAACTTGTTTTAAGGGCTGATCAGTTGAGAGAACCGTCAACATGCAGGTGTCCTTCATAGACAGGTGTCCGTTCTATAAGAGGTTGTCCGTTATAGACAGGTGTCCTTCATAGACAGGTGTCCGTTCTATAGAGGTGTAGTCCGTTATAGACAGGTGTCCGTTATAGACAGGTGTCCGTTTCTATAAGGGTTGTCCGTTATAGACAGGTGTCGCGTTCTATAGAGGTTGTCCGTTATAGACAGGTGTCCGTTATAGACAGGTGTCCGTTCTATAGAGGTTGTCTCGTTATAGACAGGTGTCCGTTCTATAGAGGTTGTCCCGTTAATAGACAGGTGTCCGTTATAGACAGGTGTCCGTTCTATAGAGGTTGTCCTTTATAGACAGGTGTCCGGTTCTATAGAGGTTGTCCGTTATAGACAGGGTGTCCGTTATAGACAGGTGTCGTTTAAGAGGTTGTCCGTATACAGGGTGTGCCGTTATATGACAGGTGTTCCTGATCCTATATGAGGTTTGTCCTTCATAGACCAGGGTGTCTCGTTCTATAGAGGTTGTTCTTTATAGACAGGTGTTCCTTCTATAGAGGTTTTACATGGATGTGGTTACCATTGGGACAGCCAGGAGATGTGACTGTTTGTGGGCCACCAACCATATTGCTCAAGTTGCCGCGTTATAAGCTCGGCAAAAATCGTCTGGCGACAGTCATTTAATACAAACAATTTTTACATCCCGTGTACTGCAGTGTGAGTGGAAAATAATTGTGAAAACAATACACGCACAAACTGTTAGTTAGCGTACTAAGTGACTTTTCCTATGTGAATTAATAAAATAACGTCGAGTTGTTACCCAGTGCTTAGCAGCTTATTTAAACGGTAACCATGGATAAAATGTGTTTTTAACGATTTTATATATTAATAATTATATATTATCTAACAACAATGGCTCTACTTATGCACGGCATAAAATGATGAGCACATAGTAGAAAAATTGTCCGGTGTATCGTGTTTTATAATGAATGAATTGCGCCGGCGTCCTTATATACGAAAAAAGTGTAGCAATATTTGAATTGTAATTGTGCGTGTGCGTGTGCGTGTGTGTGTGTGTGTGTGTGTGTACGTGAAGATCCAGGCGTACTATGTCACCCGTGGAGTTTGCTACTCGATGGCTGCAAGGCGAGACCAGTACCTTGAAGGTGTTCTGCTTAATAACCGTGGGCAAGTAAACACGTTCGTCGCAGTGTGAAGCCACTCTGATGCTTGCAAATCTATGTGGTGATGATGCTGCTGGTGGTGTGTCGGGAGCATGATGGCGATGGGTGGCATGGTGATGATGATGATGAGGAGGAGGAGGAGGATGACGATGATGATGATGATGAGGAGGAGGATGAGGAGGATGACGATGATGATGATGAGGAGGAGGAGGAGGATGATGACGATAACGATGATGATGATGAGGAGCAGGAGGATGATGATAACGATGATGATGAGGAGGAGGAGGAGGAGGATGATGATGATGATGATGATGATGAGGAGGATGATGATAATGATAATAATGATGATGAGGAAGAGGAGGATGATGATGATGATCATAATGATGAGGAAGAGAAGGAGGGGGATTGATTGTAAGGCCGACGGGGGCTGGGTTGATTAAGCGTAGGCGTTCACGAGAAGGATCGAGGTTTAAGCTCCAACGCGGATATCTTTAGCGCACGAAGCGACGGTGACCGGTCGTGTTATTATAGCCTTGCAACACGCTGCGTCTAAATGCCCGGGTGGCCAGACGAGCCTTGGTAAAACCACCGAGCGCGAGGTATACAGAGATAAGAAACAGCTTCGAGAAAAGCTGGCGAAAAATTGACGCGTTCAAGGTGAGCGGGAATTGTTATTTGAGAGAAGTTATAGAAAACGTGCCGATGCAAAGCCCCTTAATCTTTGTAGCGTATGCCATGGCGAGCTGCGAAACTAGATGGCCCCGAAAATGCGATGTTTAAACGATTTCTGTCTCGAGCAGTGCGGGTGGTACCATTCAACAGCAAGAAACTAATTCGGAAAGCCTTGAGGCCACGATGTCAGATACACAAACAGTCACGACTCTCGCGAATCGAGAGTTTTGCTTTACAATTCATTCCAAAATTTCATCGAAATCGATACATCGTCCATGAAGATGACATTTCATCGAAGATTGTGTCGTGATAAGTATTTATGTTTCTGACACTGTCCCCCCCCCCACTAGAGTTGTGACGGTGGTTGACAGTAGTTGACAGTTTGATAATTTAGAGTGAGCCTTGGGGTGGCGGGAGTTCCTGGAATCGGCAAGCAAGTGTTCAGCCGAATCTGGAAGAACTACCAGAGGAACATCCTGTCGGGAAAGAACAGAAAGTCGTTCACATCTTACATCAAAATTTAAAACCTGATTATAACCTCAATGTACTTGATTTCAAAACTTCATAAACTCGACTAAACTTGAAAAAACGATTGATTAGTAATTGATGTCCCTGATCGGGATCCAATTAAGGAAGATACGATAGCCAAAGATCGAGAAAATGAGAAAATATAGAATGGTAATAGTTGTTGTCGCATATTGCTTCCGTAGTTCGATGAATCTCAGTCACGAGTTTCGTGGCAAAGTTGTCTACCTTTACTGCCACGCCCTCGCTGCCTCAGGGCATGCTTCAGTGCCTAATCTGCCCCCAGAGAAGTTTGTCACCTGCTTTGCGTAGCCTTCTTGCTATGACATCTACCTCTGGACAGATTTCAACACCATCCGTGAAGATAAAAGGAGAGGAGAGGAGAGAAGTGAAGAGGAGAGAAGAGAAGAAAGGGGAGGGAATGTATGTATGTACTTATGTACATCTGTAGGCCTACGTTTGTACGTGTGTGTGTGTGTGTGCTGTGTGCTGTGTGTGTGTGTGTGTCTGTGTGTGTGTGTGTGTGTGTGTGGTGTGTGTGTGTGTGTGGTGTGTGTGTGTGGTGCTGTGTGTGTGTGTGTGTGTGTGTGTGTGCTGTGTGTGTGTGTGTGTGTGTGTGTTGTGTGTGTGTGTGTGTGTGTACGTATGCACGTATGTACGTGTGTGCGCGCGCGTGTGTGTGCATATATGTATGTATGTATGTATGTATAAATGTGTAACTTATATTATGTAGAATAAACTCATCTACATCATACACAAAGTCGTTGGCCATCATTGCCTGTCAACCCCCCCCCCTCCTCCCTACAGAAAAAAACCCGAGAACTCGCGAATGTTCGCGCATTGTCGGCGTGCAAAAACCTTATAAGTGCGTGTATACGGTGCTTCAATCGGCTCTCGCAACCTCACTAGGACTCACGTAAGATGTTATCAGGATGAATGCATATTCATTATTATTATTATTATTATTATTATTATTATTATTATTATTATTACTTCCGCGAAGGGGTTGGCAGGAGGTTATGTTTTCACCGGCGTGTATTTTGTTGGCTTGTGCGTGTACAGCCTAACTGAAAAAGTTATGGACGGATTGTCATAAAATTTTTTAGGATAGGTCAGAAATCGCCTAACCTAGAATTGATTGAGATATTGGTGGTGATCGGATCAATTCATTTAATTAATTCATTAATTCATTAATAAAAATTTTCACCGTGAGAGAATTGGAGCTGCCTTGGTGAGGTCTGTGCTCTCGCGAGTAATCTAGTTATTATTGTTATATATATTATTATTATTATTATTATTATTATTATTTACTCCTGATGTTATGCTACGAGCCATGACGCCGGACTCGTACGTAGCGCAGAATCAGAATACGGATATCAGCACGTTAGCGCAGACGTTGCGACTTTTGTTTGCCTCGTCGCTGCAACCTGCAACCGCATGCGATCGGTCGCACGCTTCACGTGTGTGCGCATGCAAGCGATTTCGAAGCGATTTCGGAGCGCATTGGGAGCGACGCGTTGCTGATAATCAAATAGGTTTGATTTCTTGCATCGTTGCAGGCGGCCAGAATCGCTACGAGTTGCAGTTGGCACGTTCCCGCAGACATAGGCGATTTCACAGCAATTTCGAGGCAGATGCGCGTGTTGCATGAAAAAGTCTACGCTAGCTTTCTTAGTTAATTCAACGCATGCCGCATGCCTTCTCGGTGAGGTGCAGTGGCGTAGCCAGCAATTGAAACAGGGGGGGCCAAGGCGAGGGAGCGAAGGCGACGCGAGGGGTAGGGTGTGGGGGGGGGGGGGTATCCCCCCTCCCACGGTAGGGAGATTTTTGAAAATTCGTGCATGAAAATGGCATTTTCTGCACACTAAAATTCAGTATTAGGGGTAAACTTAATATGAGAAGTGGCATATGCTAATCCCTTATAACCCCACTCCCTCGCTTTTTATTTTTTCCACTCCGATCCGATCAACGTGGCGACGATGGCCCTGGCTGTGGCGCCGGAAGGCTCTGAGGTTACACACGACCAGTTGGTGACGACTTAGCTAGACCAGTGAAAATGGTGTAGACGAGCCAGTGTTTTTCAGGGAGGGAAGAAAAGAGTTAAGCGACCAAGACAGGCGATGAAGCAATTTCTCAACGGGGAGGGTGTTTCCCTCCCACAGTAGGGTAATTTTTGAAAATATGTGCGATCAAAAATGGCATTTTTGCGCATTTTCATTTTCATTATTAGGTGTAGGTAATAGTGGTATAGACCAATCCATTCAGGGCCTTCTCTCTTAATTTTTGTAACTCTCCGATAAGAGGGTCATGGCTCCTTGTGCCAGCGGCCCTCCCCCTCCTAGCACTACCCTATGTGCCTCATTCAAGCACTGACGGAATATTGGAATTAGTTTTGATTTGTGTTGTTAGCAGTACCATGCAATGTTGCATTTATCGTCATAAACTGTTCAAGTTCCTCATATAAAAGTTAAAAGTAAAATTATTTTTGAAAAAGTAGAGGCATATTGAATGAAATCGAAATAAGATCTACGGGAAAAACAGGTAGATGTGTTGGAACTGCACTGAATAAACATGCAATTTATTTAAATTACAAAAGATTTACATCGTTTAGAATACAATAGCGTTAAAGATCACATTTAACATTTTGTTCGTTATAAAAAATGTTTTTGCTTTCCTCTGATGAAGAACTAAAAAACCATATTGAAATTTGATTTCAAATAAAAAAAAGTAGCTGCCAAAATAGCGCCGCTCTATTAAAATTAAAAAGGAAATTTACCATGAAAAGAATTGTTTTCTTGCCTCCTGATAGAGAACAGTTTACTTAAAATAGTGTTGAATCCGGATTTGAAATAAAACCGGAGTGGATGCAAATGGCCGTCCTATAAGTTCGGAATATATCAAAGTTATTCACGAAAGCATTTCCATTTCTTTTCTTCTGTCAATAAGAGTTCAGAAGCCCATAAAATTCAATCAAAGCCACTTGCAACAACACAAATCTGAGCAAAGAGAATTATCTCCTTTCTTTTAGTCATGTTTTTGTCTGCGTGCCAGAAATCTCAAAATCCAAAGTCAAGTCTTCTCGTCGATTTTTGCACAGAATGATTTGTGAGGATTTCGTTGACATTAATGTTCATTTTTCACTAACTCGCTGTTCAATCGAAAGAGGAGAATCGTGAGCAGAGAATCTGGCTGGGTCATTGCTTAGAACGAAGTTTAGACTTGACAATGCTGCATTTTAGAGAATGTTCCTTCATAGCAGATGCAGAAGTAAAGGAATTGTGGCCAGTCTGTGAAGAGCGCTGAGAGGCAAGGAAAATCTTTTGTTTTTGTTTTGTTTGCCAATCAACAGGGCCATGGCCCCTTGTGCCCCCCCCCCTTAGCTACGCCAGTGGCCTGTGCTGATATTTGAACAAGTAACCTATGTGTGAAGCACATGACAATCTGGACCAACATTGCCTTCCCCTTTCTACATTCTGGTCGGGGGACACTTAGTAACTGCGGAAACCAGATCTAAAGCTACCGCGCAACTATCATAGAGAAACACACACAACTGCTGTATCGTGCTTTATACATTGTCAACTTTTATTGTGTTTCGTTCGACGTTTTTATGACAACACAGGACTAAATGACTACAACACCAATCAGTGCGTATGAAGCGAAGTAAATCATCCACCTTGTAGGCCAGGTACTCACTGCTGCCTACACGTTTTTTCGATTACATTGGCTCCGTGAAGTGGTAAACGATGTTCGACTGCTTGTACGTACATTTGCCAATTGGCGGTCATCAGAGTATGCGACAACGAGAGCGTTTTTGTATACACTGATGAACAATGAACGTCACTCGAAAGCACTTGGTTTTAAAGAGCAGATAACTTGCTATGCTAAAATATGAAAATATTATATTATATATAGTATTATATATTTATATGTATATATACCTGTATATATAGAAAAACTAGTGGTCTGAACGTGGTTGACCGTCATCTTGCCTAGTCACACCGGATTCTGAGACCAATATACCAGCAGGAACCAAAATGTCCGAAGTTTGAAGAAGTAAATATTATGTCATCCCGTGGACCACGATAATAGGAACATAACAGAATACAGGAAATTGTCATAAATAACTTGAAACAAAGCTGCTTGCATTGAAAAACAGCGCGTGGACTATAAACCCCCCATAGCTAACGTGTAGAATAAATAACGTGACTAAAGTTCACACAACATAAATAACCGAATATGAACATGGCTAAACAAAGAGGATGAACAGATATATAATATCTTACAGGGCAAACTTTGATTGGACTCACTAACTACTACTGACCGGAGGCTCCGATCAATATTGCTATGTCACACCAGATGGGCGCTATTCACTAATAGTAATAGTGTATTCGAATATACGAAAATGAATACACTAGAGTATAAGTGTATTCGAGCCACAAGACTCGTGGCCATGATGCACACACAGGCTTTGGCTTAAATTTCTCTGAAGCACATTTGCAACATCGGATAACATAATCTATAGCGTAGCAACTACGAAAACTAGTGGGTTGTGAGTATTTGCGCTTCTCATCACCTCACGATTTGGCAAAAAATCAAATCAATCGGCTGCACAACACCGAAACCCGTTCGCTAAGTGCGCTATTCGCTTACGTCGTAAAACCGAGGCGTGCTTGTGATAAAAGGACACCTAGAAAAACGGGAAAACGCAAAACCGAGTCCTGTAATATGTATACCAGGACCAGATATTTTCGCTCTGTATACTATGTAATACTGCAGAAATCAAAGGAAACCTCATCGGGAAAATGAACAACCAAGTGGTGGTCAGAAAGATCTTTTTTTTCTCTTGATGATGACTAGCCGAGGCAACCACACATAGGGTATGGTGAGGATAATGATAATGGTGATGAGTATATAATAATATAACTAGAAAGTGATAAAAAATAACCATTAATAATGAAATAAACGTATTAATAGAATTAAAAATAAAATTGGCCATCTGTGCCTTAACACATTACAGGAATGGGAAACCAATAACTAATTGTTAAGGATGAATCACGTTGCAATTGTCCAATGAAATTAATAACCTCTCACCCTGTTAATAGACATGAAAACCTACTGTCAAGAAAAGACTACATTTAAACATTGAAAGCAAAAGCCAGCCGATAACAGTAAATGTGTATACACTAACATTCCTCTATGTAAAATACAATAGACACCAAAATCTACCTAATCTGGATTTCATCAAGACACCACCAAAAATATAGCAGGCACATGGCTTGTAAACACATCGAGCTTATAGGCAGCTTTCTTTAACAATTATTTAAACATTCCCATCAACCGACTTCATTTATCAGTCTCATCGGCTAGTTGCACACATGAACCTCTACCTCCAATACAACCAGATGATCAACTACAAAATGGATGACCTCTATACCAGACACAATTCTGCGTAGAAGAAACTGATCTGTGAATATCTCTGAAATGTGATATGCCACCACCAGTGAGTACATTCAACACTGCTACGTGCCACCGTCAAGCATTAGTGATAACCCAAATTTGCCCTCACAGGCGCAGCCCATGCTAGCATCTTCAGATATCAGGAACCACTGGCAGGATACACTGGGTTACTTCATAAATATCGCAAACATACAAAAATAGCAATCGTCGCTGCAGTACGCTAGCACAGGCAAAGCTAAAAGCTAAGCGCACACACTACCGCCACCATCTACGTAAAGAGTAACAATGAGACACCAACAGAACCGACTGCAACACTATGGCTTGGGGGCAACACGTAAATCCGAGCCCTTGGCACTAGCAGCTTCACTCTGGCTTAGCCTTGGCGTTCTTGACAATGTCGGGGATCTCCTGCCGCGGCGGGTTGAAGGTAAGGCACATGATGTGACGCTCGTACTGCTTGGTGACACGGAACAGGCTGTCGGTACCATGCAGGCGATCGAGGATTCCAAGCACCCCACCGTAGTTCTGGTTGAAACGCTAGAGCAGCGAAGGTTTATCCGTATACATAAGAGCAGGACTTAATTAATGGACAATTAGATGATTAAGACAAAGCTAATAATTCGTTGTCAAATTTAACATGGCCGTTGTGAAAATGTTCCTGTAATTTACTTGATGAGTATTATCCTTGGTATCTATATACCTATAAGTATATAATACATCTGTATTTTGAATTCCACATGGTGGGCCGCAATTTTCCGCAAACTGGCCATTTTACCTTTGTCTAGTTTTCTTTTCCCTCAGAAGAAACCCTGCGAGCGGGAGCCGATCGGTGATGGGGCCAAACTCTTGAGCCAAGAGTCTACTTGAACAAACATACTATCTGTGTTTCGCAGTATCCTTTATCTTCTCTTCTTTCTCTCTCTCATCTCGCGTCCTCTCTCTCTCTTTCTGCTGTCCTCTCTCTCGGCGGCATCTCTCTCTCTCTTTCTCCATGTCTCTCTCAGCTCTCTCTCTCTCGCTCTCGTCTCTCTCCTTTCTCTCTCTCTCGACACAGTCTCTCGTCGAGTTGGCTTAGTTCTCTCTCTCTCTCTCTCTCTCTCTCTCTCTCGGGCGCGTCTCTCTCTCTCTCTCCTCTCTCTCTCGCATCTCTCTCTATCTCCCTCTCCCTCCTTCGCTCTCCTTCTCCCATCTCTAATGCTCCTAATTTATGATCATGGATGGTGTCGCACGTGGTCCATAGATGAAATATAACCACCTACATTGATCTACACCTGCCCGGCCACTGAATATGGCCCCTCAGAGGGAAACGAGGAACGCACCCCACTCCTACCTGCCCTCACCCAGCTCTGCCCCAACTCGCTCCCTGCCCCCCTCCCCCATGTTTTCCTCTCCCCGGCTCCTCTCCCGGTCTCCTCCCCACTCCTCCCTGCGCCCACCTCCCCCATTCCCCGCCCCCATCCCCCACTCCTTCCTGGCTCTCTCCCTGGCCCCCTTCCTGCCTCCTCTCCCGTCGGTCTCCCCCACTCCTTCCTGGCTCCTCTCTGTCCCTCCCCGCCCCTCCCTGCATCCTCCCCCACTCTTCCTGGCTCCTCTCCCTCTCCTCTCCCTGTCTCCTCTCCGGCTCCTCTCCCTGTTCCTCCCCGGCTCCTCTCCCTGCCCCCTCTCCAGCTCCTCTCCCTGTCTCCTCCCCCACTTCTGCCCCGCCCCTCACTCACTGCGTCCTCTCCCTGCCCCCCCCGCCCCTCCTGCTCTCCCTGCACCTCACCGGCTCCTCTCCCTGCCCCCCTCCCCGCCTCCTCATCCTCCCTCCCACACTCCTCCCTGGCTCCTCTCTCCCGCTCCTCCCGCCACTCATCCCCGGCTCCTCTCCCGGCCCCACTCCTCGCGCCAACCTACTTCAGATGGTGGAAGTCGTGCGCCTCCGGCGACGGGAAGTAGGGGAAGTGGTAGCCGCTGTGCGCGTTCGTCGTCGACAGCAGAGCGATGCCGAACCAGAGCCACATCGTGGAGAGGTGCGAGCCCATGATGAGCGGGCCGAGCATGGGCGGCATCATGTTGGACATGACGTGCTCGAGGGGGTGAGCGTACAGCCCGATGATGCCGATAGGGGCCGTCCACTCGTGGTGGAGCTTGTGGATGCGCTTGTAGAGCAGCGGGTGGTGAACGGTCCTGCAAGCAGCGAGAGAGAGAGAGACTGAGCGAGAGCGAGAGAGAGAGAGAGAGACTGAGCGAGAGAGAGAGAGAGAGAGAGAGACTGAGCGAGAGAGAGAGAGAGAGAGAGAGAGACTGAGAGAGAGAGAGA